ACTATTATATTGGCATATTACTCGATAATATATTTGTTTATCCTTTGATTGTATTCATCCTTTTTTTGTTATTTGGTTTCAGATCCCACTTTAACGTTTTTGCAATGCTTCAACCTGTGGTACACTTCAATGTTATTTAATATATTAAACTTACGCATTAAAGGCTAAACAGAGTCTTCTATAAACTTAAAACACTAATTATAAGACTTTACATTTCTGAAGAAATGTCTGATTTATTTCTATTATCTTTTATTTCATTGTGTATTCTACTTTATCATTTACTAGAACTTTTATTGTTTTAAATACAATTACATTGTGTAAATACAGGCACAAATGGTTATTTTCTCAGGCAAATACACTACTGGTTTAAGTCTAACTTATAACCATACATTAGTTTACAAAAGACAAATTAACCACGTTTATGTAAACTGGCCTAAAGGATATTGTACTGTCCACTCCTATAGTTTACTCCATAATAGTTGTATCTGTATACATTGTTGAAATGTTGATTTATGGTGTAATTGTACCTATTTTGCTCTGTTAAAACAATTATGTAAGCGTATATGATCTATTTTATTGTCATCCGATCGTCATTATCTTATCTTATAATGTAGCCCGCATCTAAAATTCTATTTTTCCACAAAAGAATCCAGCTGTACAAAACAAGGCAAGATATGCACTGCTGGTTACAGCCACATTCAAAAATATTGACGTGTTATTTTTGACTGAATGGCCTCAAAGGTCAAAGACCATAGCAACTTTATTGATTTCTGCAGGTTTAAATACTGTTACAGTTCCACAAGGGCTTGAAGGGTCTCAGACGGGGTTGTGGCGACAATCAGACATGAACCTTCACATGTATGGTTCACTAGTGGAGTCAGGATCTATGAAGTGTTGACAGTGTTCAGCTGCCTGCCCTGAAGGCACAATTCAGCTCAACACAGCTATAACACTTCACATGTCTGACAGCTGTGACACAATGCAGGGATGTGTACACTTTCCCATCACACCGAAGCCGAAGATACAGATACCTGAGTTTTAGCACTTTGCTTCAGGAGGCATTTTGCACCAAATCCTAATCAATAAACACCTAGGACCGATCCGGCTCTGGATTAACACTTACAAACAACATATGCACACATCACCACACAAATACACACACACTCCACTCCCACACACAGACAGAAATCACTCTCCACCTGCTATATATCTCTCACCTCATCAAACATGCATGCCAGAGAAGGTGAAGGTGGTGAGTGTGGTAGGAGATCTTTTTTTCTTTCACCCACACAGGCGTTTTTGCCTTGCTATTCTGGGATGATGTAGACAGAAATCAGTTTGATGGATCAGGATTGTTAGAATTTCCAAACTCAAGTGAACTTTTTCTCATTTTAAGTAAAGAGAAATGTATCGCATTTGGAGAGTGAATGTGTACAGCACACATTTCATGGGAATCTGCCTGTTGGTTTGAGAGATATCGTGTGTGCAAAGTTTATATTGATTGATTTATATTTACCTCTAGTGAGCTTATGTTTTCGGTTCCTGTTAGTTTGGCAGGATTACTCAAAAACCACACAAACTATGTTTATGAAACTTTGTGGAATGGTGTAGAATGAATCATGGAAGAGCCCATTTAATTGTTGAGCTAATTCGAATGATCATTTACAAATGAGCATGAGGGCAATACTGTGGCACTGATCTTGTATATAAGATATATCAATTATTGCGAGAACATGACACCCGTAAACAATGTGACGTAGGAGCTCGGTAAAAACAAAGCTGTCTATGCCGTATGGCAGTCTAATTGACACAATGTTCATATTTTTGGAGTAATTATACAGTTTTTGACAAACAGCAATATTGTTTTCTGGCATCACTAAAAAACATTTTACTTGCACCCTCAAAATTGAAATAACTTTAAATGCAGTGTTTAAACGCTATGAGCAATCAAATACAAGTGAAACACATACTCTTGAATGTCATAATGTTTTCAAATGACAACTTAAAGCTCATACTGTAAAAGTGTGAAGAATGACTTCCAAAATAGGAAATAGGATCATCCAAGGAGCAAGTAAATGAAACATTGGCCTGATTGGAGAATAGCTAGTAGCCAAAAAGAGTTCATAGGGTCAAGTGTCAGAAATAGAAAGAGTTTGAACTTTGATGAGCACGAATGCACACTGGATGTAATGACAATCTGCAAGTTACACGTTGATATTTTGTGAGTACCAGTGTAAACTATGACTCAGTAGGGGCAACAAAAAACAAAAACATGAGGCATCATCCTCTGGAGAACATGAACCTCTTCAGTAAATTAAATTCAAAACATGGCCAAAAGTTGACGAAATAAGATCTAAAACAAGAAGTTGGAATGATGGACCAACAGCAAGGACCAATGTCTAGCACTTAAAAAAGGGACTGTCCAATAGATTGGAAAAGGGATGACTGCTTTGCCTAGTCTATATAACTTTGCCGACCAACCAGCACACAGCCAGCTTTCTACAATGTATGGACAGGTGTGCAAGGATGTGACGATGACCTTTAATCCTTCTTCTGTCTTTTTCCATGTGTTAACTCCTGAGCTGCATCGATCGCCTCCATTTTAAAAGCAAATGACGGCTTTCAGAAAAGAGATGGCAGAGTGCAACTGAATTGTGAAGGTGCTGAACAATGTCGGAGACACATTTGTTCTGTTGAATGGAACTGAATGAATCATATCTCCTTTCTGTGGCCTAATGAATGTTGTGCAACCGTGTTCCTGTTGAGCATATATCAACCTTGAGACCACATCACTCGTTGGGCTAAAACTGTGTATTATCAAAGTGAATTTCCAAACCAACAACTAAAATAAATGCTGTCAATGAAGAACGCAGTCATTTCATTTTAAGCCTTGCTGGCAGTTCTGGGATGGCCATGTCAGTTGGTCAGTCAGACTTTGGTGATCCCTTGACATTTAATCTTGTGCCATGAGCAGGTTGACATTAAGGTTCTTTTCTTGAAATGTTTTGACAACTGTTATATTGCAGAGATAAGTGTTCTCTTCAGGATATATTGGTGCACCCTTGCTACCCTAAATCATCCAAGATATAATAACCAAATAAATGCTTAACCAAACGTATTTCCATCAACCTGAGCTGCTTAAAGAGTTGCTACAGTAGCATACTTGTACAATGGTTGTTTTTTTGTGAATTTATTCTTAAAGACACAAACTATCATAATAATATGATAATCACACTAAAATAGTACGTTTTGTGAGGGAATTAAACCAACACACCCCAATGAGGTCTTACTTCAAGAAAATAGTTGTGTAGGAGGATGTTGGCAAAACTATTTGAAGCAATTTGAATATTTCTCTAAAAAACTTGTATATAGGCAGTGTTTACTGCTTTACAGATAGCAGGCATAGTGTTGCTAAGTCGAGAAATTGATATAATCTTTGTGATCATTCCTAGAACAGTCAAGCTAAGTTACATTGACAAACTGCCTACAACAGATGGTTAGCTAATGGTAACGTATATTGTGTTGTGTTTTATATTCTGGATAAAGCTCTTCTTTAGACTGTTTTTGTACCTAAACAAAATCCATTATCCACCCCTAACTACTATCCATTATATGTCAACAAGTCTATAGTGGAATAATCACTGTCATCTTTGCTAAAAACAAAACAAAAAAAGGACAATGTCCATTACAACAGACACTAATGGGCTGTCAAGTGGTTGCAGAGTAAGAATGGGTGATTTAATACATAAATGCAAATGTCCCATGGTGCTCCTATGACTGAGTGGCTTTTTCTTCTGCTTTTAATTGGTGATTCAGTGACCCCTGATTGTGTAAAAAGTGTAACATGCAGTAACACAATGGGAGCCCAGCCTTGGCATGATTTAAGTGTTGAAGGCTCACCCACGCACATAATTACCGCAGTCTTTCTGAGGTTTTCCATGCCATGAGCGGCTGTTAAGTGGTGCGGCTTGAATTTGGAAATGACTTCCCTGGGTGTGTTGACTGTGTCGCTCTGTACCAGGTTCCAGCTACTGGTCATTGCAATTAATATGGACATGGGGAGGCATGACAGGAAAACATATTAGGAATATCACAAAATTAACATTTTATATGGAGACAGACTATTTATTTTTTATGTGGAATTTTATTTTGGTGTTCAAACAATCACAGCACTGTGTTTGCAAATGTTGTCTAGCCTTCAAAAAAATGTTAGAAACATATCCTTTTTAACATATGTATTATTATACATTGTAAAACGTGAGCATTTTTAAACTCCTTAAAGGTAGGGTAGGTAATTCACTTCAGAAACACTTATTGTCATATTCCATGGAATGCTCTTAACATCCCACAAGCTGGTTTCTCCATCCTTACCTACCCTACCTTTAAAGGTGGGGTAGGTAAGTTTGAGAAACCAGCTCGAGTGCGCTAGAATTTGGAAACACAACCGGAGAAAATCTGCCACTTCCTCACAGAGCCCCTCCTCCAACACACACGAACGCGCACATGACCAATGAGGGCACGAGATAAGTTTGTGCACAGATGGAAGGCTGACAGGCAGGTAGGCCATCCAGTTATTTTAGCCGGGCCGGCTCAGATGATTGGTCGTGCTTTTTACAGTACAGCTTCCACAGATGACATTTGTTATGGATTTACTGTCAAAGCACTTAAGATATTCATTGCTATCGGGATGTTAAGAGCATTCCATGGAATATAACAAAAAGTGTATCTCGAGCCGGTTTCTCAAACTTACCTACCCCACTTTTAAGTAAATATAAATAGTTGTATTTCACATTTTTACATTTGTCAATGGCTAGAGATGGATGGAGTGCAGCAAGGATACAAAAAGGTAATGAGAGAACAAAGGTAGGATAAAGAGAAGAAAGTAGGGGGTTTGTCATTTCATAAAGCGGAGGATTTTGGGCTAGGACTTCAAGATTTAGATTCAGTATTAACTTCTGTTATACTTAAGGAGAACTTGTGTGTTTTTGCATCTCTCTTACCATTGTCTCTCGGCCAATTGGAGCAGAGAAGACGAACTCCAGCTGGAAGACAATTGCGAGAGCTTGATGATTTGTCAGTTTGAGCTCCAAGCTGCTGCGAAGGCCCAGCATCTGAGGGGGGGGTGATGTTGTAGAGCTGAGGAGAGAGCATGCATGCACGCACACACACACACACACACACACACACACACACACACACACACACACACACACACACACACACACACACACACACACACACACACACACACACACACACACACACACACACACACACACACACACACACACACACACACACACACACACACACACACACACACACACACACACACACACACACACACACACACACACACACACACACACACACACACACACACACACACACACACACACACACACACACACACACACACACACACACACACACACAGGATGTGCTTAAGAGGGAGAGACGCAAGGAAATAAGCTATTACAGGACACACAAAGATTATTCACAACCCATGTGCTTTAAAGTCATTACTATGAGCAAAGGATGATGCTTTATCCCTTTATTTCTTTTAATACAGTTTTTGTTTTTGTTAAAAAGGAAGTAAATCAATGTGTTGGAGGATTTACACTTGCTTGCAGAATGTTCCCTGGCAAGCATTGGCCTCCTGTGTGAGCAGTGGAACAGCTCTCTTGGTATTCGTCATTCACAGTTTGCATACACCATAGGCGGGAGCATACTGTGGAGCGCCGGCGTGTCACGAGGTTGGGCCGAGCGCCTTTTCTTTTTACCGCTTCATGGACTCTCCAGAGAATGGTACAAGCGAGCACATCAGATGTATTTATCTTCTCTCTTTTCTTGCTGTCTGGAAGCCCCAGGCATAGCGGAAGCAGGACCGACTGTCAGCTTTCAAAGGCAGCACGCAAAAAAATAAGCCAATCGTCATAATTGTTGGCTACACTGTTGTTTTCATATAAACACTTTTTAGGGAAACACAAAAGGGCAGAACATACAGTATAATGTCTGCAGTTAGTTTGTTATTTGTATAAAACAGTAATTAGGTGCAGATTGTTGGAAAGTATGTGATTGTGTTGATTATGTTTCCCCGAGTATATTCCCATGCTTGTAAGACGCCCATACAAGCAGCTACGTAATCAGCCTGCGTCTCGTCTGAAGTAGCAAATACAATACATTTTGATTCCGATACACTGGAAAAAAGGCAATCATAGGTTCACTGTCTGTATGTAATCTGTTGATTTTACAACTTTTTCTTTGGACATTTTGACTTTATTTAATAGTCTGTCTTTCCTTCAACTCAATTTCCATCTGCGTAATTATTTCCTGAAACTGAGCAATATATCCCAACTAATCATACGAAGGGAAATAGCTCAAATAAACTACCCTATGTTAACTGAAAAATGTGGAAGAATATAAAAAACACACAAACTGTATGCATTGTGGCGTGCAATAGATGGCAGGTTTGTCACATCAGTATGCCTTATATCCATTTGATATTTCAACATTTCCTCATACAACGGTTCTTATGTTGTCTTACGAACATTCATTTTGTAATTTATTTTGTGCATAAGGATATCCGCAATCAGTGCACCTGCACAAACACAGTGCAGAATCTGTTAAGGCAAGAAAAATTGCTTGGTTAGGTTTAGGAAAAAAGTCAGGGTTAGAAAAAACGATGGACGTTGCGTTACTTAGTTATGGAAGTAACGCTACGTCAAATTCTGGTTCAACACACAACACTAACAGTGGTCCTCTGTAAAAAGTGTTTGTACCCACCCATCCGTCTCTAACTACTCCGCATGCAGACTGTATTGCTCTTTATACTCCGTCACCTGTCCTAACTCATGATTAATAGGTTACATGTGAACTGATTACATGGGATATATGAACTATAGTGCATTACTTAATGTACGTATAAACACAAACATTGTATGATAATAGCCTGGGTATTTTGCAGACAGTACCTTCACTACAAGCATATTTATTTGGATCCTTTCCCGTAAACACCAATAAAGAAAGACAAATTCTTTAGATTATGATAATTGGAAAGACAATTTGTTTCTTAATATTGAAGGTCCCCCTATCATGCAAATGTTTAGGTTCATTTTGTGGCTCTACTCTGACATGTCTCCATGCTTTAATGTTCAAAAAGCTCTTTATTTGTATCATACTGCCTGTGCTGCAGCACCTCTTGTTTTAATTGGTTACCTGGCTGGCTCTGTTGTGTTGGCCATACACTTAGAGATCCCCCCCGCCCCCGCCTTATCTTATCAGGTTCAATGTGCTGGAGAGCTAGTCAATAGAAGCGTGAGTGTTACATAGTGATGTCATTATGTTACCGAAGTAAAAATAAAGGTTTGAATGGAGGCATTTCAGGCAGGGGGGGGGGGGGTTGTGTGGGAGAGAAACTTCTTCTGGAGAGGGATTAGAGCCTTGGAAGATCATTTACATGCACTAAAACCTATATAACAAACTACAGGGAAGGGAAACCCCCCAACCCCAAAAGCATAATAAAGCCTCTTTAACTAACTTGTTTTTTTTTTCTAACAAGAGCTCAGAGTTTGCACCTTTTATCAAAGCTTTCCTCAATAAAACATTCTGAACCTAATGAATTTGAAAATAAAGCTTGCATCATGGCTGCACTTTAACGGTTTATTGTGACATTTTGTATTGTAGTTTTTGTAGGATTTTGCATATTGTCTGTGGAAAGAAAGGCAATAGGGTAGATCTGTTGTAACAGGATTTGCACACCTTCTCTTCATATCATGACACACCTGCACAATGTCACTGAAATAGACACAAAACCGTTTTTTGTTTTTTTACCCGAAGCAGTTCTGCACAATGGCTCAGTGATGTGCCTTGACAGCTCATTAATTGAAACTGCTGGCAGTTGTTTACCTGTGGTGGTCAAAGGTTCATTCGCTCTCAACATTTATGTTATTAAACACTTCCAGTGATTTAACGGGGTGCGATGTGATATTTGTGACAGATGTTGTACCTAAAGCACACTTGGTTACAAAATTATCTGAAGGCAACTGGCTATTTTACAGTTTTTATAACCCTACACTGGTGTTATTGAGTGTTTCTCATCTCTGGATTTAAAATTAGATTAATGTACTCTACAGGGTGGGGTGCAGGTTTACCTCTCTGTGTGTTGACATGCCAAAACCATTCAATCCTGGTGTTTTACTGCTGATCTAACGTGGACGCTGGTGACCTTACATCAGCACATCTACTTTGACAAGGTTAGCATTGAGTGTCATGGTGTGTCAATAAAACTCAGGGGCAGGGGCAGCAGGAGCCGTATCACCTTGATTGGTTATGAAGTACTTGCACGTATTGGAATGTACTGCACGGCAGTTTTATGAAGGTAGAAGCCTGTGTGGCATGGAATAGTGTGTAAATCATGAGGCTGGGGTCAGGTCAGGACATGCAGGGCCTTATCAGGTAAACAGTATTTGTTGTTTAGGCAGGGTCAATGGACTAATTAAAAAGCCACATAGAAAAAATAAACATTACTCTCCATTTGTTTGATAAGAAAATATCTAAACAAATGATTGACCTGCATCATTGAAGGTGGAAAAAAGTTTTTTTTTTTTTATATTCTCTATAATAAACATATTATTGCGTTGACTTTGGATTTGATGGACAGATAATCTTTGACCTTTGAAGCAACTAATAAAGTGTGTAAACACATGCTTTTTTTAGTAGTGGCTTGGCCATTTTTTATAGAAAACTGTACAGATATTAAACTTTATCACCTTAATATGTACAGACTGTTGTAACCTTACAAATAAAAGAGAGGTCAAATCTGAGCCCTCAGTATCATCTGGCCCCAGTAGTTAGGGCATCTGTATTGGTGACCAAAAAAAGTCTAATTTGTACATCGTACATGGCAGTAGAGGATTATTGCCAACATAAGAAAAGATTATTAATTTTCTGCCAACCTATTGTAGGGCATTTCTGCAAATCAATTGCTACTTATAACTATATTGTCTCCTACATTATCTATTTTTAAGATTGTTAATCAACAAACTTCTAGCAAAGGTTTAACATGTCTAACTAAGGTGTTGGTCTAACTTGTGAACAGCAACAGTACTTTGTACCCGACTGTAGGTTTGCATGCACCAGTCTTGAGTCTCAATGGAAGTGTGGCAGAATGGAAGCAGCTAAAAACAGACTGGGTTTGGAAATGTTGAAGTTTCGTGCAGTTTGCTTTAGTCACTATCAAAGGACAACTGTTTCACATCGATCAACCTGCCACCAGCAAAACTGAAATGAGCTTTTCATCTTCTCGTATGAGTATGTTTGATAACTGATCTGGAACATCTCCACTTGATAAGAAAGGTAGAAAGTGAAAGACGAAATATAAACTGTAGATCTAAAATATAAGGGTATAAAGCAATTGGAACCCCCAAAAAGAACTGCAATGTTCTCGTTTTTTCAGACATCTCCCATCCTATGTCATACACAACTGAAGTTCATTCCAACCTACCTAGCTTTTTCAGAAATACATTTTTTGCTGATTTTACAGGATAAATCACTTGCCTATCAGCAAAAGGAAGCGTGCCAGGAGAGGCTGATGAAATGCTTTAAATAAGATGATCAGTCTGAGAACAGAATAAAGCGCCTCTCTTATAGCCGGTAGTAACATCTCCACTGTAAGACATGTATTTCCTCACCTGTCCTTCACCAGGCTGCTCTGTTTGGAGCTGCTGTCTGATCGGCTTCTGGCTAGGGGCTCCAGCACCACCACTTGGGGCTTGTCCAAGAAACACCAGCCATTGTGGACCCCGACATGGAGCCTCCTTTCCTGGATGACAACCGCCCTCAGTGTACCCTCCGGACCCTGTTTCTGAAAATCAGTGCGCAGAAGATCAGAGTTACTAAACAAAAAGATAATTCAGCACATAAATCCTAATTTGTGTACTTTTGATGGTTGTGCGGCTTTTGTGGTTCTCAAGATGTTCTAATATCTTTGAGATAATCAGTCTATAACACCTCAGCTCTGGGAAAGAAAGAACTTCCTGCTTCATAGTTTCTTAAATGTACCCCTTTAAATAATCCTAAAAATTGACCAGATTGTACTCACACTACATCACTGCATTTACATTTTATTTAAAAGATAGAGCATCCAATATTAGTACATGTTTTGTTTTAGTAGGAGAAGGGCCTATATATATATTTTTCTAACTTATACTGTATATTTTCTAGGGCTGTCAGTCGATTAATATATTTAATCGCGATTAATCGCATGATGTTCATAGTTAATCGCGAATAATCGCAAATTAATCGCACATTTTGTATCTGTTCTAAATGTACCTTAGAGGAATATTTTTCAAGTTTTTAATATTCTTATCAACATATGAGTGGACAAATATGCTTTATACAATTTTTGTTTATTATCATTGGAACAATGACAAATATTCTCCTGAATATTTTCAATACAACAACCTGGAACCTCTCTCTCTCTCTTCACTCTCTCCCAACCCTGTCTACTGCTCTGCACTGAGCCAGTTGCTCAAACAGACAAGCCTGTTTACAGTTGTCGGCGAAATGCTGCTCCTCTGTGTTCATAACAGTCAAAGCATGAGACTGAAGTTCCCACTGTGGGTCAAAATAATGCACTGTGATGTGCAGTCGACACGTTGGATGCGGTCCGAATTATCTAACGCAGCCCCTCGTCATGGACGCAGGAAGGGGGGGTGCTGAGGGGGCTGCAGCAGCCCCAACTGCGAGACTCCACTAAAAGCCACACCCACAAACGGGGCGCACCTACAGTGTAAGCCGCTGCGAGGCTCCACTAGCAGTCCCCCCCCAGCGAGCCAGTTTCTCCGCTGCGAGGCTCCACTAGCAGTCCCCCCCCAGCGAGCCAGTTTCTCCGCTGCGAGGCTCCAGTAGCAGTCCCCTCCCTGATTTTATATTTTAAAATGTCTTGAAAATAAGCAAGAATGACAAATGATTGCGCATTTCGGTTTAGATCGTGAGGACAGGACATGAAGAATATCTGTTGTATTAATGACTTTCTACACCATATATTTGTTTGCTTGCTTATAAGCTACCGTACATAAACTAAATATCGAAAAATCTAATAAAAATAGTGTTATGAACAATAAGGATGCATTAAACACAACATATTGATTTGAAACATGATTTTATATATTTAAAAATGATTGTATTGCTTACGCTAAGAACAAATTGTCTGCTTTACGAAGATTTTCTGGCCCATAACTGAGTCAAGTAATGCGACTGGACAGTGACAGTGACAATGGTAAACAAACTTAAATAATGAATTATTTAATGCCTAAAATGATATTGTATGTGCAGTATGGTATTATATGCCAATAAGAGATAAGATAGACTTATTATCTTTTTATTTATTTTCAGAAAATTATTTTTAGAAGAAATGATCAGAGAAGAGTCATGAAGTTTGAAGATTATAAAACATTATTTGGTGTGTTTTTTCTACTTTTTAAACAACATGTTTTTAAAGCTCGGTTGGATGCTACAAAATCAGATGCTGTTGGTACCTGTACATGTGGTTAGATATGTAAATTGTAATCCCTGTACATTTTGCTGTGATGTCCTTTTGTTTATGTGTTTATGTCTTCTTGTGGAACCTACTGCTGCAGGTCTCCCTTGAAAAAGAGATCATTGAATGGGATTTTACCTGCATAAATAAAGGTTTTGAATTGAATTGAATTTGACACTGCATGATTCAAGAGAGACAAACCGACATAGAGACTCAATATACGTACATAAAATAAATTATGATTCATGCATTTGCTGAAAATTGAAGTTACCCCTAATGTCATGGCAAGAGATGTTTGTTACAGCCCGGCTCATAGACTGCATCAAATATGGGAGACCAGGCAAGTTAAAGTGTAAAAAAAAGCATATTTATTTAAAATATAACAAAACTAAAGGACAGTAATGTGTGCGTCAGTAAGTAAGCAGCGGTGTCCAAAAGCAGAGTGAGATCGGGCAGTATGGGATGGTGCTGGCCTTTTATCTCCAGCCACCCAGGTGTGGCTCAACAGGTTGATGATTTGAACACCTGTAACACAAATTAGAGCCAGCAAGCAGAACGCAAACACAGAGACCCCTAGTGGAGTGGAGGGGTCGTAACAATTTTAATGTTTAGTTTTTTAATCACCTTATGAAATGTTGAATGTTGGAAAACCCGGTGCTCCTGAAGAAAACCTGGTAGGCCAATGACACTTAATGAACTTCAGTCTGTGGCATTTATCTCTTGGCCTGCCGAGCTCTTTTCTCCTGAACTGTTTTCATTAGCTCAAGGAGGTCATCAAGAAGGGTGACATTCTCCCGATTCAAGCCCTTGTTTCTTTCCTGCAGGGAGTCGTACAGTCCCAGCATGTCCGTGACAGTTTTAATTTGGTCCTGGTGTTCTTGGACCTGGCGCTCGAGACCCCTGTTTAAAGCCTGAACCGCGGTGACTTTTTCCTGTAGGTGCTCATCGGCAGTACACTTTTTCTGAAGGCCGTTCAGCCTTTTCCGCAGGGTGATGTTCTCGCTGGTAAGAGTTTTCCTCACAGCCTCCATGGTTGTATAACTCTTCTTCAACTCCCCCTGAGATGTGAGCTTTCCCTGGAAAAGCTGGACGTTTTCACTCAGTTTTCTATGCTCTCTCTCCAAGCCGTCTCTCCGATGATCCGCCATGATGTATTTCTGCTGCCAGTCAGCTTCACGAACAAGTTTCTCCTGGGCCTCAGCAAGCGTTTTTTTCATGGTGTCATTATCACGCCTTTGGGCTTTGTTGGATGCATTCAAGGTCTCATACTTCACCTTAATGGTTTTCTCATTTTCAAGGTCTCGGGAGAACTCCCCTTTCTTTTGTCGCAAGAACTGATTTTGTTGGGAAATCAACTCCTTTTCTGCCATCGCAATGTTGTATGACGTCTGCAGATCCTCTAAACGCAGAAGCCTCTGTGCAAGCTCAAAGATATGCATTTGCAAGATGTCAGTTTGGCGGTTTCCCTCGTTTATTGACGCATTCATTGCGTCCATCTCATTCTGCACTATGCTTTCATTTTCAAGCTTCTTGCAGAGATCCATAACTTCCTGCAGCAGAGCCTCGTTCTGCTGGCAAACCGTCTGCTTCTCTGCCTTTGCCAGCTGGTAAAGTTCCTTGATTACCTGAAGGTGATTGTGCCTTTCCTTGAGACACTTAAGTTGTTTCTCAAGGGAAACATTTTCCTTGATGGTTTCCTCTTTTTCCCTTTTCATTGCAATGAGCATTTCCTCTGTTACAGTATAGCTGTGGATCGCTAAATGCGCCTCCTTAATCTGGGCTTGGAGCTCTCTCTGCCCAGAAAGTGCAGCTTGATGCTCAGCTTTGATAACATCAATGCTACCCTGATTTTGCAGGTCAATGTCGGAGGCCATGTTTTAAGATGACTACATAGGATAGATAGGATAATGTGTTAGCAACTGCTAATTTGTGTTTTGCTTTAAAACACAAACTGGACTTCGCTATAGGCTTCCGAATTTGAATTTGAATGATGTCATACAGCAAACAAATTATTAGATGTTGCCATGGCACCAATTAAGATGCATTATCGGTAACTATGCTAAGGCAAACCTGACAACAAGATGGCTGACTTCTACTCTATTTAACTCAATAGAGATCTATGTAGAAGACTCTATAGCGAGGTCCCGCAAAATGATGTTTGCTGAGGAACTGTTCATAAAAAATACCAAAAATACTACATAATATTAACTTGAGTGTATTTTCTCGAATTAATATATAAAAGTATGTTGTGGTCGCTTGTGTTGTGATGTCCTGTAAACAATAAACCTATTACTTTCACTCAACAACTCATGGATTGTTGCCCCTTTGCGTCTCTTCAAAAGCAAAACAAATATACTCCAATTGAAAATGCTTCTTAATAAACACTTTTTAGAGTACGTAGAAATTCAATATAAATATTTTTGGTACAAAATATTGCAATAGTGCTGCTTTAACTTGAAAACAATGCATGATGGTAAGAAATTATTGATTGCTATTACTCAGAGACAATATTTCTGGTTGTTCTACATCAATTTAATTTTCCAAACATCCATTTCTGACAATCTGGTAAGAGTTACAGGGGGTTGAAATAACAATTCACACTATTCTGGGGTCCAATTCACATTTATGCCAAAGGGCTCTGCTACTTGATACAAACAAATGTAATTTGTTGGGACTTTGTGGGGTCTCTATGGCATTTTCAAACCTATAATACATTTTCTCTCGTACAAATTAAAGGGATGCTGTTGATAATCTTGTTTGACTTTTTATTAGATTATTTTTACACAGATAAAACATGACTTCCAGCTCTCTGTGTCTTTTAACCTGTTAAGCCCCGAGTCTGTTTTCCAGGTCTCAGGCTCGAAAATGACATTCCCAGAACAAATGACTATAACTTCACTTGTAAAAAGGGGTAAATTAATAATATGTTTTCTCAAAGCAATGATACACCTGTGAGTTGGATGTAGAAAAGTTTGAATCAATATAGATTTTCTTTTACGTAAATGATATTGTCCGTCCAAAAACATTACTTATAGTGAAAACCACCCATGAATGATGGGATAGGAGACTAAAAGCTTTAGGAATCCAAACTATAACATATAATAAGTACCCTGTATCAAGATTGATGCAAAACAAGTGACATTTGACCTTTTTAGAGAGGTTTAGCAAAAGAAAAACACTTCTGGGGTCATTCGGGTGGATTTTCCCCCTTGGTCGATTTTGCTGATTGACATCTCTTTTTAACCGTCAGAGCCAATAGAATCGAGGGGAAGTTCATAAATACACCTACACGTTACCAAATAAGGAGTGAGAGTGATGCGTAG